GTCCCGGCCCCCGGGGACAGGGAGGGGACTACCCTGCAGCCCTCCTAGATTCCGCCCTCTCTCCCCTCGGGAAGCGAACGCACGACCCCACCCCGAGCCATCCACACTCTGGAAACATGAGCTGTTGAGCCTGAAAGCGAGTCCAGAACCCGGGAACTTCAATTTTGGGGGGTGGGGTGGGCTGGTGGGCTGCCTTTAAAAAAGTAATATTAACACAACTATTTTCTTTTCTTCCCACTTGATCCTTCCCATTTGCCCTTTCCCGCCTACTCTATCTGGGCGGGAATTGTTTCCGAGATGAAATGAGTGAGAACCCGAGTGTTCCTGTGTCTCCCGTGGTGCGAGTGAGTCGCTGCCGCTGAAGGCAAGGGGTGGGAACGGGGGTGGAAGGCAGGTGGTCCCGGGGCACCGCCTGGGACTTGGGAGAACCCGCAGCCTTGGCCTCAACAATGCTCACTGGGAGATAAGTCGCACTCCCCACCATCTTGAACGGGGGCACATTCATAGGGAAGGCTCCCTTGGCGAATGTACAACTCATCGCAAGGCTGAGGGTATCGAGATCCTGGGCATTAATCAGGTCTAACCACAGAGCCGGAATAGTTACTAATATCGTGTAACAAGCCCCCTTTTCCTCTGCCATCATGATTCTCCTTGGCAGCAGCATTAGCAGCCGTCTGAGAGTGAAGATGTGGGTGATGGGGAAGTTGGTAATGACTCCGCTGTTTTTTCTCATGGCTCCTTTGGGCAACAGCTGTCCGCCCTCAGTATACACTGTAGTTGATTGCAGGGAAACCCTGTACCTCTCCCCTTCTTTCTCTACTGATTTTGCACTTTTCTCTTCGCTCACCACCAAGTGTAATCAATAACAAGCACTGACAGTACATAGCAATAGTGAAATCTGAAATAACTAATAATTAGGTATTACAGCCATGGATATGGCTGGGTAAAATCCAATTGGGTATTTCAGTTTCATTCACCTACCCTGTTTTGGTGTTTTGTTTTTGATTTTCTTTTTCTTTCTTTACTTCTTTTTTTTCTGATATTTGGAAAGCCAAGATCACACTTTTCCTCTCCCCATTCCTTTTCTTAATCCCTTTTCTAAAAGGAGAAAAATCCGAATGGATTTAAAGTATTGGACTGGTGTTAGCTGTGTTTTATTGCACACCTAAATCCTGATAATAGGCTTTTCATTTCCCCTCAAAGCCTTTATTTTGGCATTCAAGCCAAATGTGTTTTCCAGAAAGTTAGTTGAAGTATTTTCTCCTCTTTTTTTTCCTTCCTCTCTTTTTTTCCCATCTGACCCCAGGTATTATGGTCCAAACATGACTGGACAGCAGCTTTTGTTTCTTGACCCTGTAATATGACAGTCTGCTAATATTGCCAGAAGGTGCAGTTTTGGGGTTACACTTGTGATTTTAGCTATTCAATCATATTAGCAGGGAAAAATGACTTGTTTCTGTTGTACTTGAGTCTTAAGAAAAAGTGCCCATAGTTTAGTGACAATTTCCAAAGGCTTTAGTACCACCTGTATTTCAAAATGGGGGACCCAAACTCCCGGAAGAAACAAGCTCTGAACAGACTACGTGCTCAGCTTAGAAAGAAAAAAGAATCTCTAGCTGACCAGTTTGACTTCAAGATGTATATTGCCTTTGTGTTCAAGGAGAAGGTAATTTAAAATTCTTAATGTGAATTAGCACAAGTGATTTTTGTGTGTACCAAGTTATTTGTTACTTTTAAATAATTTATCAATGTTAGGTTAAAGAATGGTGGGAGTATGCTTGTTTTTCACCCTTTCAGTGATTCTGTGGATTTCGTAGTTGTAAAATCAAGAATGGAAAGTTCTTAACTATTAGTTTGGAAATACTTAATTCTAAAGCTTAACAGGGTCGAGTATTGTTAGCTGACATGGGCCAGGTAACATTGTAAAACCTAATGTAGAGTAACAGGGAACTTTATAACTGAATTTAAGGATGATTTAACATAAAGTATGAATAGGATGTTTGAAACTTAAATTGGAATTAAATCTTTAGATGCTAGTCATCTAACTAGATATTTTTTCATATGGTACATTTAATATACTTTCATTTTTAAGTTGGGAGCAATTAAATATTGAAATGATTAATTTGTTTTTAGAAGTGCTGCTTTTTAAAATTCAAAATTGCTTAAAAAGTAAGTTTAATTTTTAGAAATCAGAGTTGGGCCAGGGATTTAGCTCAGTGGCACCATGCCTGCCTCCCAAGCACAAAGTCTTGAGTTTGGCACTACCAAAAAAAAAAAAAAAAAAAGAATCAGACTTAAAGTTAGTGCCACAGTTAACGAGGAAGTAATAACTAGCTGTGGTTAGTGGAAAAGAACTTGAAAGCATTTTTTGGGGCTTAAGAACGCACAGTTGCTTAAATCATCAGCAAGCAAGGCTGTTTGACATGAGACTAGGTTATGAATATAAGGAAGTGTTACTTTCGTTTTTGCATGTAAGTGGTGATCTAATTTCAAATCAAAAATATAATCTCAGTGTAATTATCTATTTAGTGTTTGGAAGTTCCTCTAGTTGTTACTTCATTCTTAAAACTTACTTGTAATAAAGACCCTCTTTGTTGGTACAGTAATAGCATTGTGAAGTGGTTTTCAAGTAATTTGTTTTGAAGTGATTGTATTAAGACAGGGTAGTACCAAGGATTTATTTACTCGCTTTTTTTGTGTGTGCTTTTTGTTTTTAACAAGCTGACTGAAGAACTGATAGAGTCAGTTGAAAGTGTTGCAGTGTAGGCTCTTTATATCCAAGATACAAGTGGTGAGACTATATCTTTGTAATCTGTAAGGTGTCCAAAATTTTACCATCTGGTTTTTAAATTTTTAACATTTGTGAAAATCTGGTTTTTTTGCAATTGGATAATATCCCTGAACTTGACCTGTGTAGCTCCTGATCAATATTCTGTGTACTGAATTATAAGATACCTTGGAGATGAACACTTGCTCTTAACTCATATTGTAACACAATTTGGTGCACATTTTTTCTTCTCTCAGATACTGACATTTGTGGGTATGTAATATCCAGAAGTAGTAATGGAAACTGACCCTATTAAAGAATAAAGTAGTTAGTTTGTCTGAATAGTTGTGTTTTTGAACTGTTGTTTTTAATTTAGCTACATATGCAACTAGTTAAGTGAAATTACATTAATTCTGTCACTGAAATATTTTTTTAAGTTTAGAGATGTTTAGTATTGGTTCCTCATAAGACTTAAGAAATACTGTCTAATATGAGTAGTTGCTTTGGATGCCACAGTGCTATACAACTGAGAAATTAAACATTCTGTTAGTAGGTTATTTATTCATGGTTGGGGTGAGGGATGGGGGAAGGCCAGAAAGATCCAACTATCTGAAAGTAAGCATTTCTACCTAAAAAGTAGATGGTAATTTTATTGAGTTGGAATAAAGATATATGCATTGTAATATGGGCTGGGTGTTAAAAGACAGTGTGCTTCCAGTAGGTCAATACACCTTTTGTTTTCCTTTTAGAGAAAAAAATCAGCACTTTTTGAAGTGTCTGAGGTTATACCAGTGATGACAAATAATTATGAAGAAAATATCCTGAAAGGTGTGCGAGATTCCAGCTATTCCTTGGAAAGTTCCATAGAGCTTTTACAGAAGGATGTGGTACAGCTCCATGCTCCTCGATACCAGTCTATGAGAAGGGTAAGTTCTGTTTAAGTCTTGGTAGGTAAATTTTGGGGAATTACGCTTGC